GTCAAAAGTCAAGCAAAAATTGGACTGATATTGGGCACTATTTCAAGCACAATTTTTTGAGACGTAAATTGTACCTATAGCTCGTTCGATATTCGCGCACTGAGGTGAGTATGCTGGGCGTAGAACCTACGCCCAGCATACTCACTGAACGAAGCCTATAACTCCGAAGTTATTCGAGCACTGTTTTTTCTTTTTGGGCACCGTTTGGCACTATTTGGGAACTATTTTTTGAAGTATGAATTATGTTTGAAGCGTATACAGATTCTCCGGACGGAGGTGAGTATGCTGGGCGAAACCTTCGTCCAGCATACTCATCGAACTATGGCTATAACTTCGCAAGTACAAGAGCACTATTTTTTTCCTTTGGGCACTATTTAGCACTATTTCAGAACAGTTTTTTGACATTCATGAAATATCAGGATTCCATGGTGAGTATGCTGGACGAAGGGACACAAATTGGTTCGTTATAACCATCTTTACTTAATATTATGTATGGGAAAGTGTCTGTTTGTGTTTGTTTTCAACGGAGCAGTAATACATGCTACTTCTTTCCTTTTTAACCGACTTCCCAAAATGGATGAAGTCCTCAATTCGGCCGGTATATATTTCTATGTACGTACACCGACTTCTACACCATCAGAAAAGACAAAAAAAAATAACTGGTATTCATTAATAACAGGTTTATTTGGTTTTTAGTTTATGGTTTTTTTAGTTGGTTTTTTAATGACAGTTTTATTTATATACCATGTGAGCAAAGTTGAGGATCGCCCGATGGCAAGCGATTAGTGCCGCCCATAGACATCCGCAACACGACAGGGGATACCTTAATAAAGCTCATTTGGTCTTCTCTTTTCTCTAAAGTGTGAATGTTTAAGAGAAAATGATACACACAATGCTCCTAATACAAAGGACATATTCACTGCTATTTGACACTTTGACGTCAGAAAGGTACCTACTGCTTTTAGTTAAATAAAAAATTCCTAGTAGGAAACACTTCTTCAAAATTGAATGCCATTGAATTAGTGAGTTAATTCGTATTCAAATCCATAAGAAAATAATTCAAACTATTTTGGCATAAAATTGTAAATATTGTTACGGTTCCTTAACCCAGCTTTAATTAAAACCTATTCAGACACTGTATAGGTAAGGTATTACGAACTGTAATTATATTTCACAGGCAGGCATTACACCTAGAAACTTCCATTCCGAACAAGCTTCACTTAATTTGTCCTAATAGCAACAATTGACAACTGCTAGGTTTAAGACGTGACGCGAATAACTGCCGTGCCATCCCCTAACATAGTTAGGTCTAGCCTACTTAATTTTCTCCTCTCTCAGTAAGGTACGACTGAGACCGACATTTCTCGTTTTCCAACGTCAATTCAGAGATGCGTGTTATCCTTAACATATACTGAATAATACATACTCAGTTTGCATGACAAGTGAAGGTGAGTGATGTCGATACGAACGACGCAGTTATATAGGAACGTATCTACACAGTGACGTCCCAGCCTTATGTCAAACTCGCCTCCCCACGCAAATTTTCTTCCATTCTTTTTATTGATAAAGTTTAATTTAGCTATCTGCTTAATCAGACCTCATTATTGTTTTCCTCGTTTCCAGTAAGGATAATAAGAAAATACTTATAAGTTATTTGGAAAATTACTGCTACGAATAAAGATTATATGCAAATTAATCTCTGTTATTCGAAACTCGACTTTATTACTGAAATCTGTGAAACTGCTTTCATGATAATCGAAGCGCTCTACATATAAAATTGGGTCAATATCCGCGTACAAACAGAGAGGGAGCGCGAAAAGTTTATCCTAAAACAGTAATGTCACGAATAGGTTCTTAACCTATTTTGCTAGTGAGTCTACAGCTTCAAAGGACTGCGACATAGCCGTTTGTGCCCATTTGATAATGTAAAAAGATTGTAAGAAAATTAGCTACATGAAAGGTCATACCATGGGCATTTTCTTTATTGCCATTTTCCAATCTCACGTTCTTTTACATTGCTACATGTATTCGTAAGACTTCATAGGTTACCTCGAATTATTGTTACATGTGTGTCAAAACACGATAAAACATGCATAGTTTGCAGCGTGTGCCTTTGTGCCCTTCAAATGTGAAACGTGTAGAACGTAGGTAATTTTGTCGTTGGCACTTGACATCGAATGTGCTTTTTAGGAGCTACGCGCTTTTTCTGAAATTGGAGATCACGGTAATTTCAATAAAATCGGATCAAATTAAGGTTTTGTGTGAACAGGATCTGGAAATATATAAAAGTAGGCTAGAGGAGACGGTCGTTCGTTTTGCAATCGAGTGTTTGTGTCGGTGCGGTGTGAAGTGTGTTGCGTGGCGCGGCGCGGGCTGCGCGGTGGCGCTCGGCGTCGATAGCGCACCGGCCTGACGTCGGCGCGCTCCGCACCCCGCGCGCCGCCACCCCCAGCGGCGCACGTCACACTCGACACCCGCGACACCCTCGGCACCCGAGCCGAGCCGCGCCGACCACCACATCGCGACGCGCACCATCACCCCCGTGACTGTTTACTGTGAACCCCATCAAGATATAGCTCCAGGAACCACTCAGTGTCGCGATTTGTGCTAAATCAGTATCTGGTGAAAACAAACACATCACACGGCATTAGCGCAGGCGCGCCACTAGCGGACATGATGAGAGCGGCCATCTTGGCCGAGGACGCACTTTCGCCTCGCCCCAGCTTCAAAGCTCGATTTGAAAGTTCCATATAAGCCTCAAGGAACGAGCGATGCGTCGTGGAACTGGACCCGCGGCGTGCGCCCTCTGAGGCCGCCCCGCGCCGCTATCGATCCGGTAGCGTCATGGCGCCCGCGGAGTGAATGCGGACATCGGGACAGCGCCGCAGCCCCCGAACGCGAGCGGAGCGCCCGCCCAGTGATAGTGCTAGAGTGGTCGCGCGGCATGTGAGACAGAGTGTTGGCGTGGTTGGGAGGGCGCGCGGGCGGCGGCGGGCCCGGCTGACCGCGCGCCATGGGCGAGGAGTACGCGCGCTCACCGTGCGAGCGCTTCCCGGCGACGGGCGCGTTCAGCGTGGCGCCGCCGGAGAGGCTCAGCCCGCCGCCGCCCGCGCCGCTGCCGGATCGGTTCTCGGCGTCCCCGCGGCGGGTGCGCCGCTGTGCAGAGGCAGAGCGCGCGCGGCGGCCCCGATATGTGCCACCAGCAGCTCACGTGCCCGTGGAGCGTTACGTGCCGCGGCCGCCAGCGCCACTTCGGCCTCCACCACCGGTATACTGCGGGCTGGCGTGCAGGCCGCCACCGCCAGCGCCGCGCAAGTGCTGCGGGCCAGCATGTCGCGAGGATATCGCGGGCTCGCCGCCGCCGTCCCGCTACGTGGAGTACGTGGGCGCGGCGGCTGCTCGCAGGCTGGCCTGCACGCCACCACCACCACCACCACCTGCGCTGCAGCTGCCCTGCGAGCCACAGGAGCCCCCGTGCTGTGTACAGGCTCGCAGACGGCCACAACCACCACATGATTGGTAAGTACACCAAAAATAGTTAAGCAAAACAAAAGTAATAGTGATCCGTCCAAACGTCCTTATGATGCTTGTCACGCATATACCGTGGTAATAATAAGTTATAGTACAACATTGAAACCAACTTTAATGAACCAACCGAAAAGAAACACCAGCTGAAAAGTGACATTGAACGAAAGTTAGGAGTACCTAATGTAAATTTGATGCGCAATAGATCTTTCACGAATCTATGTGTAACTGCGTAACTCACAGAGTGGAGCATAAAGCATTTTTAATAATTCGCCGATGATAGCGAAAGCCGAGCCGTTATAATTGGTTAATATTTTGTGGTTGATGCCGATAACGTGTGATTGATGGCGGCTGGCTAACGATCGAGGTTTGTGAGCAACTCACATACGCGCTGATTAGCTTCTCGGAACGTTCGCCATTTCACTAAATATTCGACGAACATTTCGACGTATTCATCTGTTGGCTTCTATTGTTGTATCTCCGTATGTATATGTAGTAAGTACGTTGGTAGGGACTGACTATTCCATTCCTTTTATCTCTGGAACCTTTGATGTCGCGGACCATATCGCATTTCATTAGGTAGAGTTACGAGTAGCCTTTTCTCAGTCTATAACTTTGGTGACGTCATTTTCTTTTCACGTACCTTTCGAATTACGGAGCAGTATTTTTCTTGGCACTTAAATTCACCAATTGTGGAACTGACCACTGTTCTCGCAATTGTAGTGTAACGCAAAATGATTTTAGTCTGCATTAAGCTCTTGGAATTGTACCAAAATTGGTTAGTGTCCTACATAATTCTGTTTTACATTATCTATTGCATCGTAAAATTGTGGTTTTGATAGCGAACCAACATCTGTGTCTGCAAACGAATTTCAAACGTATTTATAATGGTTTACTGTTGAATTTCTTGTACGTAAAAACTAAATCTTTACTCAACAAACGTAATATGAATTTGGTCCTGTTTTGAATAAATTTTTCGTAGTGATCAAAAGAAGTAGTGTCAAAGTATTGAGACGCAGTAGAACGTAGACGAAAAGACGGCAACGGAATTAGAAGACTGTCATTCTATCACTTGTCAAATGTCATTTATAATAAAATAGACTCCTAGAAATTACATTTATTAACTTGTAAAAAGATGGAGTAGTAGGTACAAAATTTACTCTGAAACGTGACGAGATTTTGATAATTATCATATTAAAATAAATCTTGAAACATAGGTTCCAGACTTAATATAAGTAATACCGACAAGTTTATTTTACAAATATTTTAAGTTGGCTCACGTCAAAACTTAGAGCTTTCGTATAATTATTCTGTCAGTGTGAAATCCAAAGAAAATTTGACGTTTAAGAAAACACTTGACGCCATCTTTTCTGTTTCATGTTTTTATTTAATTTTCGGGCCTGACGTTGTGAGCGCGTTAAAATAAAATGTTGCGAAACTTTATCATTAAATTATAATTCTGTGTTCATAAGTGCCATAATGTTATTTTCAAAAGGTCTGCTTTCAAAATCACTCAGCAATGTAATTTAACGTAAAACTTTTTTCATATAAACTTTAGTTTTAATGCTAGCCTAAAGCGGGCCATAGTGTATCAAACTCCTAATTTAATTTGTTTATTAAGGCTCAAATTCAATATTTACACTATTATCGAAATTAACGTTAAATTCTGGCATGTATAACGAAAGTATCCCTTTTTTAAATTTGTACCAACCCACACTAAAAACTAATTTATGAAGACTAAAAGAAATTAAATGAAAACTACAATAAGATAATACCATTTTTGGGAGTTTTAGTTGACTTACATTTTTTATATATTTACTTAGAGACGTGAATTTTAAATTCCAACCAAGGTATAAAATTAAAAAAGTAGATCGTAAGAATCATACAGCGAGTAATCTTGAAAGTAAGTAACTTAAATTATAATTGTTTGTCGTTTAAACACTTTATTCAATAACAGTAGTTATGTACTTCATATCTTAACTAATCGATGGGTATTACAATAAACAACCTATAATATAATACAGGTACGTATGCTATACCGCGTTATCGGTACGTAGAACTTGATAATCGTGATAAGATTTGGGCGTGCCATCACACCGAGTGTTGCTTTAGTAACAATTAGAGTGGCATGCCATTTTATAGGCAAGTGTTCAGTGTTTTGTGAATACAACAATTGAATATCTGTGATTGTGAGTTCTAAAATTATGTGGTGTGGTTCGTGGTAGACCATTATTCTTCAGTGCGTTCGTGATTAGGACTGAAATGGATGAAAAGTAAGTCCTTTTTGACATTGTTTGTTTTTATCTCCAAAGACGTTGTCAAATATTTATGCCTGTGTGAAAACATAACCTCACTTTGTAATGAATCTTCGTTAATTTCGCTTACGTCATATGAAATGTTAGTCAGTCTGTCCTTGCGCATAATATAGACAAAATTAGAGCTAAACTACTTACAACAGTTATATCGTACAAGTTTCTTGTGTGCCTATTCAAACGCCAAGTTTGAAAGTTAAGGGATTCTTCGGTTGATTTCTTTGAAGACTTGACGTTGTATTACTCAGGGGATATTGGTTTTAGGATATGTGTCGCTGCGAAAATTTGTTATGGAACGTACTAGCGATGTAAAGTAGACAACGATAACAAAGTAATTTATTTGTTAGGTGGACTAAATAAGGCCACAATTCTTGGAAAAAGCTGCGTATTCAGCTTAAAATAGATGCCCGTGTAGCGACCACAGACTGTTGTACCATTTAGTGATTAAAATTTAATCAGAGCAGTTGAGCCTTTTATAGTTAAGTACCTACTTACAAAGACCGCTTCTTTCTTGCTGTTACAACATTTTTGTTATTGGAATCAGTTTGCATGTTAACAGAATTACCTTAAACGTATTGAACCGTAGGTACTTGTTTTTGTAATGTAATCTCCTTTACTACACAATGTTGACGATGTTTTATAATTATTATTATAGTGGTCGAATTAATCCTAATGATAGTATGCTTATCAGAAACAGTGTCATTCATAAAATTAAATAATGTCGTGACAACATTGACATAGACAAAGTTTCTTTCTAATTTCAAAAAAGGAGGTTCGGTTATTAAATCAACGTTTTAGACACGTTTTTCATTGGTTTTTGTTGTTGCATTACCAAACACCTATAATCATTTGCACTTTATCAATCTTCATTGGCAACTGCATTTGTTCTGTACTATTACTATACCATGTCAGACTTAAGATATTTGTTTTCTCTTGGTTTTGTTTTTTTTTCTATTTTAGTATGTTCTGTTCAGCTTCAGGTATGTCTTTACATTATTCTCACATGTGTGTACAATATTGGAATATGTATCAGAGCAATGTAAAACAGACTTTTTTTAAAAGAGTAACGAATGGAGTTTCTTGCTCGTTCTTCTCCACTCGAATCGACATTTTGGAACGAGCGCCTAGCTTCACTGACGGACAGACTGACAGACTATTATATATCTCATATTTGTTGACGTTTCAAAAGTACCAAATTATGGTTTAATTGAAATAAATGCTTTTGAGTTTGAGTTTGAGTTTATTTTATCTCAGAATTGTATTATCATGTAGTTGCACCCGTCAAAGTATTTTGTTCAATTTTTCCTTAACGTTACATTATTCAAAGGTCGAGAAGTTTTGAAAATAAAAATGCTCGATTTTTGTAGTAACCCTCAAGTTTTACTCTTTATCGATACTTACATTTTAGTTTATTGTAACTGTAGTTATCTATTTTTAAAATGTATCAATCCCATTTTGAAATATTTCGAATACAATTGCCATTTATATTGTTAACCCTATTCGGTAATTATCAACTTCCAACTAATTAAATCAATGAATATTAACACAACGTCTTTCATAAATTACGCACATTCACAATAAAACCAACCTTCAAAAAGTATAAAGTTCTTAAAGCATTTCCACAATTTTCCTCATTTTATGTGAAATGTAAAGAAAATACATGAAAAACGTACATAAGAATGGAAGTACCTACTGTGTCATGTTTTTTCAAGGCCTACGCCTGTTGGTTTATGGCAAATTAGTTTTATATGCTTCACGAATTCATATTTTTTCTTGAAGTGTTCGTTGCTTTGGAAATTGCTTTATTTGTGAATTGTATTCAAGTCTTTTGTGTGGGCTGAAGGCTAAGTGTTTTTGTTGCTGGCTAGTTAGATATTGTAGACTAACAATGTTTAGTGTTTTAAATGTCGAACACATTCTAAAGCTGGTAGTTTGCTGGGTTTTTAATTGTTTTTTTTATGACGAGAAAGGCGTTTAGTTTTTGACATCGAGACTAGGTAGTGTGGGATTTTTTATCTCATTAAAACCACACCGATTGCCACGATCAGTGTGTAGGTATTCTGAAAGTGTGTTGTGAAGATGTGAATGTTTTTGAAATGATTTGAAATTATGAATTAATTGAATGACTAACTGCCTCGTTGGCCGAGTCGTTGCAAGTATGACCGTCGAGTAAAAAGGGTCTTGGGTTCGATTCCCGGGTCGGGCAAAGTATTACTGGTTTTTTTTTATTACACTATTTTCTGGAATTGTGTCCGGTATATGGCAATAGGCTCACCTCTATTACATGGGACTCATAACACAAATAGTGAAAACTGGGTGTTACATTGTATAGTAATTGCCGTAATGTGCACTTTTGCCTACCCGTTCGGTGATAAAAGGCGTGATTTTATGTATGTGATTTGAAATGATGATGGTGGTAAGATCACGTGAATAAATAAATTAGAGTCGTCTTATTTTCAGTCTAAGTTCTTCGTTCTAATGAGAGGAAATAATAAATTATTACCCAGTGAAAATCTCAACTTTTCCAGCGTCTGACGAATCTTTACAAACTAAATGCCCTTTGATAATTTCCAGTCATTGAATAATTAATTCTTGGGCTTCAACATTACTTATATATTTAGCAGCTGAACGTTCTAGAATCTATAATTTAGTATTCTGTCTATTTCGAGGGAAATATTGTGT